ACGAGATTACACAGGATATGGACTGGATTTGTGTCATCCTTGTTGCATTAATGATTATACCCTTAATACAGAGCTTCAAGCTTTACAAAGTCTCTACTAGATTCTACAAGATGAAAGTCTTAGTTTATCAGATTCAGACAACACAACGTGTCCATTGAAGAGATATTCCCTAACATTTATTCACCAGGGCCAATAGAAATAGGTGACAATGTCTAAAACGTGTTGTGGCTGATACACAGTGATAAGGACTCTATATAACCTGTATATTGCCAACTTAACTGGTTGTGGCTGATTCACAGTGATAAGGACTCTATATTGCCTGTATATTGCCACGTTAACTGGTTGTGTATTTATTCCTTGAGCTATTATTTTTCTATATTTTCTCTCTACGTTGTTAGGAAGGGCCCGTAAGTAAGCATTTCACTGTTAGTCTACACCTGTTGTTTACGAACCATGTGACAAATAACATTTGATTTTGATTTACTTTGACACGCTTCTAGAATCATCAAGATCCCCAGGACCATAACTGAGAGCCCAATGACTCCTCACCCAGTCTGTGGTTGTTGGGAGAGATAGGAACAGGGCTAATTGAGTGACTGTATTTCCCCACATCCATCTTTCTTCCTTCTCTACCTATTTTACAATCCCCTCTCTCTTCTCTCTCTTTCTCCATCTCTCTGTGGTTGGGCAGTGAGGCGGTAAATAGACCCTTGGCTCTGTTCCAGACTCTGTCTCCTAATCGACACAGGAGGAGGAAACAGGAGAGAAGAGAGAGGCTCCCCAGAGAGAAGCCAGCACTGCTGCCACCCACCTCCCTTGGATTATTAACACTACTGTTCTACCACACAGAGGGACGAAAGAGAGAGGGGGAGGGATGGAGGGAGAGAAGGAGGAGGGTGGCAGAGAGAGGAGGAGAGGGGTAGAGAGAGGGGGAGGGATGGAGGGAGAGAAGGAGGAGGGTGGCAGAGAGAGGAGTAGAGAAACACACTATCCAATTTCAATAACACTTTCACCACCAACATGTAATTTACAAGCTGCGCCAAAATGACCCACTGATTAAATGTCAGTCTACCTAAGGGTCTCATGTAACACAATAATACACATCGCTCGCATCTGAATGAAAGTTACATCCTGTCAAGGATCCTTTAAAATGTATACTGATGAACAGCGGCAGCCATCTTTAGTGGCTGGCTATATGGTTACATGTTGATAGGAGAATGTAAATAAAACCAAACAGCCTGGTCTTTGAACTATGAATAGGCCTCTAAATAAGACAATCATGACGGGGAGGGAAGAAAGATGTGTAATCTAATCTTCTCCACTCATGTAGTGGGTATCTTGTCTCGAACTGAGAGACAGACACACAGACAGATATTTCCCCATCTCTCTTTCTGCTGGTTTTGGCGGCAGTTGCCATGGCAGTAAGTGGGGAAAAGAGAAAACGTGTTTCCTCATCTGAAAATGAACGAGGGGCCCAACATTCCAGCAGTGTGACGCTCACTGCCGACAAAAACATTCCCAGAGGTCATTCCCAGGTCTCACCACAGGCATGTGGAATAAAGGTAAACAGACTCTCGGCTGACGTTCCATACCGGGACACTATGTAGTGTTACTGTACTGAGGTGAGTTCACACATTAAAAGGGTCAAGTGACGTTACCAAGAGCACAACCTTCTGTTAGAACATTAACAGCTCAGGGTTATTTCTATTTCATTCAGTTTGTATGTAATGTAATAAATGCGTTCTTACTTTCTGCCCTTAAAACCCAACCCATAATAGTTAAAATAGGGACCAGTGCTCCAGAAAGCTGATCCAGAGTCAGTTATTAAAGGCAGAAACGAGAAAGTGACCAGAGAGGATCAAACCAAGCAGACTCCCTCAGTGAGAAGCTCTGCCTGCTCTGAGGTCAGATAGGGATTATGGTTCTCCTGTTCTGATCCATAGAGACTTACCAGAATTACAGCTCCTCGCGCAAAGTTACCACTGGACAGATTTAGAACCGTAGGTAGAGAACCTACTGCCTTACAGCCTGTTTATGTCCCTAAGATACTGTACATGAAGCGTAGCTAGAGAACCTACTGCCTTACAGCCTGTTCATGTCCCTAAGACACTGTACATGAAGCGTAGCTAGAGAACCTACTGCCTTACAGCCTGTTTATGTCCCTAAGATACTGTACATGAAAACAGTCAGTATAGAGGTTTAAAATCATTGAGGATTTATCTGATGCGGAGAAGGATAATCACAGTGAGTGATAGCTCTGGACTCAAGTGGGAAAAGACACAAATCGCTGGACATGAACATCTGGAATCCATCCCAGTATGTGTGTGTGTGTGTGTGTCGACCCAGAAAAGGCACTGGCCAGAATCTGAAGAATAGAGGAGATTCACAGCAGGCTTCCCCGCCGAAACACACACACACACCACACACACCGTCCACTGGCATGGTTCTCACACAGGCTGGACCCACCTGGTGCTGTGTGCCATGTGAGGAAGTTACCGTTTCCAAACGCACATACACACAAAAACACATACACCCACAACTCTTCGCATTGACAGAACTGTGGCTAGACTGCACCTGGGGCTCTGTCTGAAAGAGGAAGTCCTTCCAACAGTAAATAATATAATAATATATATAAGCCATTTAGCAGATGCTTTTATCCAAAGTGACTTACAGTCATGCGTGCATCAATTTTACATATGGGTGGTCCCGGGAATCGAACCCACTACCCTGGCATTACAAGCGCCATGCTCTACCAACTGAGCTTCACAAACCCCCACACTCCTGCATAATATTATCCTAGTTATCACAATACATGCTTTTTAGTTCCATTGTCCACTAAGTCATTCTGATGATGACACTAGAGGAAAAACAGATTATTATGAATCCTAATACTAAAGCTCTATCTGGACCCTAGTGACAGAGTCAACAATGTAGGAGCCACCAGGAGGCTAGGCCCAGCGCTGGAGACATGAAAGGAAGACTGTTGATGAGCTTTATTCAGACACACTGGACCACACTGAGACACAGTCACACAGGATATGAGTCAGGGACAGATTCAGTGAGCCATGCAGGCCTGTTGGCAGCACGTGCTGCTTCTTCATCCGTAAAACACACAATGTTTACAAAACACTCCATATCTAGTCACCACACGTGACCACACTAAAACACACACACACACAGCTACATACTGTAGTGTCAATGCAACACGTACCCTGAATGTGGTACTTCACTACACACTCCAACAGTTCCAAACACAAAGAGCCTCTGATGAAGAGTTACACACTCCTATTGAAACGAGAGGAGCTATGGGGACACTGGGGACCTAGGGCCCTGCTAACATTACACACCCCTGTAGGGCTTGGAGTGTCTGACTATAGGCTATCTACACACCACTGATTGTGTCCTCTCTGTGGCTCTGGCCCATTAGAGGCCAATCCGTCTGTCACTGTGGCACACCTGCGTAACGCCATCCCTCGCTCTCTTTCTCTCTTTCCCTCCCTTCATCCTTCTCTCCTCACTGTTCTACACGTGTCACTGAAGCAGGGAGACAGATGTTACCCTGACGACCCCGGGGACAGGCAGATTCAGAGAGCAGAGAGAGAGAGAGAGAGAGAGAGAGAGAGAGAGAGACAGAGACAGAGACAGAGACAGAGACAGAGACAGAGACAGACAGAGAGAAATCTGATGACCAGGTAAACACCCTGCTATCTCGCATGAGAGAAACAAGCTGTGTAACCCACCAGAGAAACATAAGCTGTGTAACCCACCAGAGAAACATAAGCTGTGTAACCCACCAGAGAAACATAAGCTGTGTAACCCACCAGAGAAACGTAAACTGTGTAACCCACCAGAGAAACATAAGCTGTGTAACCCACCAGAGAAATGTAAACTGTGTAACCCACCAGAGAAACGTAAGCTGTGTAACCCACCAGAGAAACGTAAGCTGTGTAACCCACCAGAGAAACGTAAGCTGTGTAACCCACCAGAGAAACACAAGCTGTGTAACCCACCAGAGAAACACAAGCTGTGTAACCCACCAGAGAAACATAATCTGTGTAACCCACCAGAGAAACATCAACTGTGTAACCCACCAGATGTGTAACTCACCAGAGACACAAAACAGAAACTAAAACTAAACCACAACTGTACCCACTCACCTCTTTCTGTAGGGACTTTACTAAAACTATAATCACTGGTTAGGCTAAATTAAAAAAGGATAAAATAAATGTAAAAAGGAGAAAGAGGCCACAGTTTCTCCACATGAATCATCAAAACTAGAGCACAGGCAGCCATCTTGGAAATCCAGAGCTACATAGTCAGTCAGTGAACAGAGAGGAGTCCTCTGTATTCTGCATGTGGACAGATCTTCAACATATTATAATTTTCCATCTGCACCCCGAGAACACAGAGTGGAATGGTATTCCTAACAAGTGCTCTGGGAATGAGGTTTGAGAGAGCTGCTGCCACAGGCATACAGACATCCACACAGGGCGAGGTCATGGTTGTCTTGTGACTCAGAGTCAGAGGCATGGAACCAATCAGGGTTCAGAGGACAACAGGAAGTGAGAGGTTGAGCGCCGACTCTGGAATTCCTGTTTTTCAGCCACTGCTTTACTCTTTGACTGATTCACCCCCTCTTCTCGCTTTCCTTCCCTCTGTTCCATCCTCCCCCTCTTACCCCTGCTCTTTTCCAACCCTCTCTTCCTCTCTCTGACATCCTGTTCCCCTCCACTTCCTATCTCACTATTCCATTACTCTAGCTCTGGTATCTATTTTCATCTGTCGTTACTCTCCTCCTCTCCATCTGTCTAAACCATTCCCTCTATCTCCCTCCACTCTCTGCCCTCCAATCCAACCATTCCCTCTCTCCCTCATTCTCTTGTAGTACAGTGCTTCCCTGCTGATCTTGTTTAGTAATTGGAAGTCAGAAAGAGAGGGAGACTGCATTTCCTAGCCTTGGGTCAGATGAAATATTAAATCTCTCCTCTCCTTAATTTCCTCTAGCTGGATGACACGGTAAGAAGAGCCCCTTTGCCACGTCCTAAAGAGAAGGATGAGGCTCAACAACACTAGGCTTTAGGAGAACTACTGCATTGCTACGTGACTTAGTCAATCTAGGTCAGCAGGCTCAAGACTGGATGTTAAAAATAGTATCATAACCATGAGTTGAATTCTCCATTCAATATGGTAAGCTAAGTTAATAAAGACAACCATCTTTGGATAAAACCTTCACCGCCACTGGTTATAACCTAGTCCTTACATAACTTAGTCCTTATAACCTAGTCCTTACAAGTGATTTTTCAGATAACTCTATTAGCCATATCACAGGTGTATCTCACCAATACCCTGCCTTCTGCCCCCTGGTGCCCTCACCTCATTGGCTGAGTTCATTAGGTGCTTCCTGTTGAGCGTCATACTGAGTGTGTTGTTGTGGCTCATCATGGGCGTCTTGACAAACACAAAGTCACTGCGGCTGGAGATGGTGGAGTAGCAGGGTCTGTAGGTCCGTGTTCCTGGGGGGTCCTGAGCCCCTCCCACCACCTCCATGTAACGGATGGGTCCATCTGTGTTGAGCTGCAGGTGGAGGTCCTTGTTGGGTCTCTGATGGTAGGCCCTGCTGGGCCGGTAATGGCTGTAGCAGCAGCCCGTCCCTCCATGGTCGCTGCGGTGGCGGAGGCATCGGACCATGAGGATGAGGAAGGTGAGGAAGGACACGGCCGAGACACAGGCCAGTGAGATGATGAGGTACAGTGTGATGTCAGACATCCCAGTCCGCCGCATCACTGACGTCTTCCGGTTGTCCGTGGCGGCGTCGCTGGCGCCCTTCTCCTCCACAGTTACCGTAATGGCCACAGTGGTGGAGAGAGTAGGTTCGCCGTTGTCCTGGACGACCACGATGATGTCATAGGTGGAGCCACCCTCCTCCTCGGCTAGCTTGCGGGTGGTGCGGAGCTCGCCGGTGTGGGGGGTGATGAGGAACAGACCAGTGTGAGGCCCGGGGGCGATGGAGTAGAACAACCAGGCGTTATGACCACTATCAGGATCCACCCCAACCAGTTTATTAATGAGATGCCCCGGCCCAGCCGACTGGGGTACACTGAGCTGCAGCCCCGTATCCTGGGGGAAGGGGGGGTACACGATGAGGGGCGCGTTGTCGTTAAGATCTACTACGAACACATGCACAGTGACATTGGCGGTCCGGGGTGGCGCCCCGGCGTCTCGGGCCTGCACCTCGATGCGGAAGGCGTTGAGGGTTTCATGGTCCAGGGAGCGCATGCTGTAGATGTGTCCAGTCTCTGGGTTGATGTAGACATAGGAGGAGATGGGGGAGCCCTGGACCATGCTGGACAGGATGGAAAAGGAGACGCGGCCGTTGTCCCCCGTGTCTGGGTCAGAGGCCATCACCATGGCGATGGGGGTGCTGGGGGTGTTGTTCTCGGGGACGTCCACTGAGTAGGAGGGCTGGGAGAACGATGGAGCGTTGTCGTTCACGTCTGAAAGCTTGACCATGAAGGTCGTATGCGATGACAGGGGAGGGGAGCCAGCGTCGGTCGCCATGATGACCACGGTGTAATCGGCCATGGTCTCTCGGTCCAGGTTGCCGTCGGTGATGAGGTTGTAGTGTTCTCCAAAGGCGGAGTTGAGTTTGAAGGGCAGGCCAGACTGGACCTTTAATGTTACCTTGCCGTTCTCACCAGAGTCCAGGTCCCTTGCGCTGATGAGGGCGATAACTGTTCCCGGCGCTGCATCCTCCTGGATAGGACTGGTCAGTGACGTCAACATCACCTCCGGAGAGTTGTCATTCACGTCAGTGACTTCAACTATGATGTTACAGGATCCCTCCATGGCGGGGGTTCCCCCATCCCTGGCCTGCACAGTGATGTGATACACATTCCCTGTCTCATAATCCACGTGACCATTCACACGGACCTCACCGGTTTTAGAATCCATGCTGAATAGCTTGAGCACCCGGTCCGGCGTGTATTTACTAAACAGGAAGGAGATCTCCCCGTTCTGGGCAAAATCCGCGTCGGTCGCGTTCAGTTTCGTTACTAAAGTGCCCTTTTCAACATTTTCCAACACGCTAACTTTTTTCACCGGCTTGTCAAAGACGGGCGCGTTGTCATTGACGTCCAGAATTTTAATGAGTAGAAGAGTGGAGCCAGACTTCTCTGGCTGACCCCCGTCTACGGCAGTGAGCAACAGGCGAAACAAGGCCTGCGTCTCCCTATCCAAAGCCTTCTCTAAAACTAACTCGGGGAACTTACTACCGTCAATTTTCGTTTCCACATTCAAAACAAAACAGTCGTTGGGTGCGAGGTGATAAGTGCGCAAAGAGTTGATACCCACATCTGGATCGTGCGCACTCTCCAGTCGGAACCGGGTGCCCGGCGCGGCCGCCTCTGATATCTCCAAGGAAATATTCTTAGTGGAAAACTGCGGCGAATTGTCATTCACATCCATAATATCCACAAGAACACGATGTATTGCTAAAGGGTCCTCAAGTACAATCTCAAGATGTAGTGAACATGTTGTACTTAATTCGCACATGTGTTCCCTGTCAATTGTCTGTCTAATAATCAAATCCCCAGTCGCCTGGTTCACCTCGAAATACTGCGCGTTAGATTCCGAGACCACCCGCAATTTTCTCTGAATTATCATTTGAACAGTGAGACCCAAATCCCTAGCGATATTCCCGACCACAGCCCCCGGCCTGAGCTCCTCTGACACGGAGTAGCTGAGCTGCGCGGTCGCGCCCATGAGGCACGCCAGGGAAAACCATAGCCTCAGCACGGGCCATCCTCCGCAGTGCTTCCTCTGTCTGGATTCCATTGTGAGAGGGGTCCGGGGGATGGAAAAAGTGTAAAGTTCCTCTTTACCGTAACTAATCCATAGTTCCGTGAAAACGACGGTACCAGGCTGTTGGTAAACACTTCCGTTTCAGAAAAAGTGCGGTGGGAAGTTTATGAGTAATCATGACGCCCTAATTCTATATGGAAAATAAAGAGGAAAGGTACAACTCCATGAAGGCTCGGCTAAAACTCTCCCCACTCTGTCTCCTCTGCTCCGCTCCTCTTAGGGGCGGGGACACAGACACAAAAACCCGTTTCCTATTGGCCGAGAACCCGGGACTTGCTCCCCATACAGAAAGAACTCTTTCACAAAGCCGAGAGAGTGAAAACTTTTCAGAGGCACTTCTTTTGCACTGACAACCAAGTTACAGACATGATACAGGCTAAATCCATTATTGTTTTAAGCAAAACAACTCTGAATGCACAACAGAAAGGCAACGGCAAGCGTAAAAGCAAACAATTTAGAGGATAAAAAAAAGAAAAAAGTTACTTATGCCTTTTCCAAAGGCATGCTGCACAGACCGAAACAAACAAGGGTGGGTATGAACCACAAGTGTATGTATGAACTTGTTGCTATGTTTCGTCAACGAACGGAACTACTTCCATTGAACATAGGCAACATTAAAAAGTAAGCGTTGAACTGATGGTCAAATTGCAATGATAGATTTAGCCGCAAGGTGGCATGTTTCCAAAGCGTTTCCTTTTCAGAAGTGTTGAAAACGCTTGAACAATACATCATTACGTAACCACAGACTCGTCTTGGCAAGGAGGCAGCAATGTAATTGATAACCAATACAAGGAGCATTGGCCTACTTACAGCAGCTGTTTTGTAAAAGGCCTATTAAAACAGATAAATGGCATATAACAGATAAATGGCAAATAAAAAATAAAATAAATATGCACTTATTTACATTTACATTTCACATTTTAGTCATTTAGCAGACGCCCTTATCCAGAGCGATTTAGAGTTAGATAACAAAGGTCACTTATCACGTTTGATCCGGTGCAAATTAGTTGGCCTACTGTACTGATTTAATGGGAAATTACAGTGCTATGATATAGGCCTAAAGAAATCCATATAATTCACTGGTATGCTAAATGAAGAAATCAACGAAAGAGGGTTAAATTACTATTTAGACATAATTTGTCTGATGTAAATTCCATGATTTTATAAATCCAAATTTTCTTCAGCATTTTCGTTATGAAGAAAATATTTTGCATGAACCCACAAGCCTACATTTTTTCTGTAGTTGATAAGTGTGTACAATTAATTATTTTTCTGAACTACTCTACAACCATATATGACATGCAGGTTCAGGTATCATCCATTCTCACAGACTACAACGTTGAAGGGAATGTGCATACCAGTAAGCATGTTTTGGCGCTAATATTATAAAATATTATATAATATATTATATAACATTAGGCCGACATTATTATTTCATAAGGTGCACCCTGGAATATTAAACGTCACAATATCGGCTAACATTCATCATAATTTCTCAGGGTGTGATGTCCCAACTGATGGTGGATCTCCACTCACTGATTATGACATCATAGCCTACGTGAAAAATAAACTCTGAATTCTCATGATAGGACGTCATAAAGCATTAGAGTCAGGAATATTATTCGTCACAATGCTATTGTTTACTGCTCACCTGCTGGCTCTCAAAGGTCCAGGCGCTGTCGGGTAAAGACGCGTCTAGAACGTTGATCATCTCCTTAAAGTCAGTGGTGCTGCTGGGCTTAACGAAGGTGAAATCACTGAACTCTGACATGGGAGAGAGACAGGACCTGAAGGACTGACTCTGAGACAACATGTCCCCTCCCAGGACCTCCACGTACTTAATAGGTCCGTCAGTGTTGAGCTGGATCTGCAGGTTTCTGTTGGGGTTCTTGTAGCCGTTCAAGTCGTCCAGTCTCATGCAGCAACTACCGCTGCTTCCTGCTGTTTCTAACACACTTCACCGCTAAGATGCCGAAAGTCACCAGAGACAGCACGGACACCGAGGCCAGAGAGAGGATCAAATACAGGGTGATTCTCCCGCTTTTCTTGCTGGGCTCTGGCGCTTTCTGCCGGAGGTCCAAAATGGGTTCGTGTAGCCCGTCCTCTACCAATATGGCCACTGTGACCGTTGAAGACTGGACCGGTTCCCCGTCGTCCTTTATCTCTATAAGCAGCCTCTGAGAGTCGTCGTCCTGCTCGGACACAGAGCGTTTAGTCCTCACCTCCCCTGTGTAAAGATTGACACTGAACAGAGAAGCGTCTGTGGCCTCCGCCAGCTTATACGAGATCCAGGCGTTATGGCCCGAGTCTGCGTCCACGGCCGTTACCTTAGTAACCAGGTGGCCTGCTTTAGCGGAGCGGGGCACCTTCTGGTGAGAGAGCGAGCCCAGGGCAGCGGAGGGGTAGATAACAGCGGGGGCATTGTCGTTCTGGTCCAGGATAAAAACATGGACAGTGGCGTTGCTGCTCAGAGACGGAGAGCCGTGGTCCTTTGCCTGCACCAGAATCTGAAACACCTTCACTTTCTCATAGTCAAACGAGTGCATGCTGTATATGCTGCCGTTATCAGAGTTCATATACACATAGGAGGATACAGACACGTCCTGCACTTTGGAGGCTAGGATGGAATACGAGATTTTGGCATTATCCCCGAAATCCAGGTCAGATGCCGATACTGAGGTGAGCATGGAGCCTGGTAGTCCATTCTCTTTAAAATAGACATCATAGGAGGGCTGAGTGAATTTAGGGGGGTTGTCGTTGACATCAATGATACTGACAGGTATCGTTTTCTTGGTAGTCAGGGGAGGGGAGCCCGAATCAGTGGCTCTTATCTCAATATTATACTCTGAGAAGCTCTCTCTGTCTAAAACACCACTGGTGACCAGTGCGTAATTATTAGAAAAGGACGGTTTCAGATTAAAAGGATAGTCTCGCGGGAGCTGTAAGGTTACTTTACCGTTATTCCCGGAGTCTAGGTCCCGGGCACTAATCAAAGCTACTACGGTGCCACTGGGTGCGTCTTCGGGCAGAGGCCTCGGTTTAGAGGTGAGGACGATTTCAGGAGAGTTGTCATTAACGTCTACGACTTCTACCTGCACACTACAATGTCCCTCCATTTTAGGGGTGCCTTTGTCTTTCGCGCTGATGTCGATTTCAAAATTTGCAGCCATCTCGAAATCTAATTCTCCCTTTAAAAATAATTTCCCGGTTACAGGATCAATCTCAAATACAGACAGCACGAAATCTGGTGTATGCACACCGAAAGAATACTCTACCTCCCCATTTTGGCCCTCGTCGATGTCTGTCGCTTTAGGTTGTAGTATTAAAGTACCCTCAGCACTACTTTCACTTACAGAAATTTTGTACACAGTTTTTTCAAATACGGGAATATTGTCATTATTATCAAGCACTGTAATTGTTATTTGTGCCGTTCCGGATCTTATCGGATTGCCCCCATCAAGCGCTGTCAATAATAGCTGATGGACAGCTTTTTTCTCTCTGTCCAGAGGTTTAGCCAAAACCAGTTCTGGCACTTTTCTTCCACCAGTGATTTCTTTTAATTTTAAAGTAAAACATTCGTCTTTACTAAGAGTATATGATTTTAGAGAATTACTTCCAACATCTCGGTCTTGTGCGCTTTCTAATGGAAAACGTACACCTGCCGCTGTTGATTCAGCTATCTCTAACGTGTGTTGTTTTGAAGGAAAACTAGGGGAGTTGTCATTGATATCTTGTATTTCTACCTCGACACGATATAGTTGTAACGGGTTCTCAATGACAACCTGCAGAGGTAAAACGCAGCTGAAGCTTTCTCCGCATAAAGTCTCTCTGTCTATTCTCTCATTGACGACCAGCTCGCCCTTCCCGGCATCCACACTGATATACTGCTTACCAGCCTCAGCCGCGACATGCAGTTTACGGTCAAAAATCTCAGATAGTCCCAAACCCAGATCTTTGGCTAGATTTCCTACTACAGAGCCCTGTTTCCGTTCCTCCGGGATGGTGTAGCGAGTCTGTCCGTCTATTGTACTCCACAAGAGAACGGAATGATGCCACCAAAGAGCCAGCCATCTCCAGTCCCGGTATCCCATTCTCTTTGTCATCCCTGATCCGTTATAACACAATTCCCACTTAAATACTGTCCAGAACAAAGAGCTTCATATCAAAACGCATGTCCAGAATGTATATTCCATTTAGCATTTTTCCATTAATTTTTAATCACGATATGGACGTTGTGTTTGGAGTATACAGTATTTCCGTTTATGGAAGCGCATCCCTCTCGCTCCTCCAGCTCTGAGTATTGTAAGGGTCACGGTGCTGAGGCTGGGGGGAGGGAGTAGATCTCTTTGTACAGTTCTGCACACTATTGGAGCACAGCGTGCAATTGTAACACCCAATGAGGGGCCAACAGAACAGACTTCTTAAAGCCACAGTATCCACACTACCCAAGCGCTCTAACTGACAGCACACAGAGAGAGTACCATTAGCCCGTGCAATAACATACTGTTCATATTGATGTACAAAATACTATGGGCAGCCAAGAGGTAAGCCTATGAATCAGAATGTGTAAAGGTGTAAACCAGGATGGAAAATAAAATAGTCTGTTGCTCACATTTACATTTTTGTCATTTAGCAGACGCTCTTATCCAGAGCGACTTACAGTTAGTGAGTGCATACATAATTTTTTTATGTTGGCCCCCCGTGGGAATCGAACCCACAACCCTGGCGTTACAAACGCCATGCTCTACCAACTGAGCTACATCCCTGCCGGCCATTCCCCTCCCCTAACCTGGACCCCTCCCCTAACCTGGACGACGCTGGGCCAATTGTGCGCCACCCCATGGGTCTCCCGGTCGAGGCCGGCTACGACAGAGCCTCTAGTGGCACAGCTAGCACTGCGATGCAGTGCCTTAGACCACTGCGCCACTCAGGAGACTTCATCCAAAACAGTAATTCTAAAAAGAGCCCAGTGGAAGGAAACTTTTTTTTACTATTATAGTTTATATAAACTATTAAATGAGCTGCAATCAATCATAGAAATACCAGCAATTGTACAATTTAAAAATGTACAGCAACTGTAAATGTATTTCTCTGTTAGCCTGCCATGAGCCCACAAAACCACACAGTTGATTCCGAGGGGGTCTCGCTGTCCACACTGGTGGTGCTGAAACCCCTCAGCCCCCATTCCATGGTCGGATACCAGAGCATCTTGTCACAATAGAACTACCACCACGTTTAACACCCACAGAAACATTATTACTCAGTCACTGATGATCATGACCAGGGGATTCCTGTGGTTTTTCTAATCATCCATTGAACATAGCTGCCGAAGTCAATAGTTAAATGAAGAGTAACCAGCTGAAAAATATTTTTTACATAATTAAATTATGAAAAACTGAAACTCTGATTACGAATCATATTATTGTTAGGTTCAGTGGCAGAGTTTTTCACCGCACCTACTTCCTCTAATACATGACAAAATACTGAGCATAAATTATACGCTAGCCACACAATATTCTTATTCAATCTGAACGACTATGACAAAGCTATGATGAATGGAATGAAATACACAACAGTGGAGGTTATTTTGTTACGTAGACGTCTTATGGTGATTAATGACGTCACAAAACAGTCTACATTCGAGAATCATGATAGTCACAATAAACTGCAGTTCGCCGCTCACCTGCTGGCTCTCAAAGGTCCAGGCGCTGTCGGGTAAAGACGCGTCTAGAACGTTGATCATCTCCTTAAAGTCAGTGGTGCTGCTGGGCTTAACGAAGGTGAAATCACTGAACTCTGACATGGGAGAGAGACAGGACCTGAAGGACTGACTCTGAGACAACATGTCCCCTCCCAGGACCTCCACGTACTTAATAGGTCCGTCAGTGTTGAGCTGGATCTGCAGGTTTCTGTTGGGGTTCTTGTAGCCGTTCAAGTCGTCCAGTCTCATGCAGCAACTACCGCTGCTTCTGCTGTTTCTAACACACTTCACCGCTAAGATGCCGAAAGTCACCAGAGACAGCACGGACACCGAGGCCAGAGAGAGGATCAAATACAGGGTGATTCTCCCGCTTTTCTTGCTGGGCTCTGGCGCTTTCTGCCAAAGGTCCAAGATGGGTTCGTGTAGCCCGTCCTCTACCAGTATGGCCACTGTGACCGTTGAAGACTGGACCGGTTCCCCGTCGTCCTTTATCTCTATAAGCAGCCTCTGAGAGTAGTCGTCCTGCTCGGACACAGAGCGTTTAGTCCTCACCTCCCCTGTGTAAAGATTGACACTGAACAGAGACGCGTCTGTGGCCTCCGCCAGCTTATACGAGATCCAGGCATTATGGCCCGAGTCTGCGTCCACGGCCGTTACCTTAGTAACCAAATGGCCTGTTTTAGCGGAGCGAGGCATCTTCTGGTGAGAGAGCGAGCCCAGGGCAGCGGAGGGGTAAATAACAGCGGGGGCATTGTCGTTCTGGTCCAGGATAAAAACATGGACAGTGGCGTTGCTGCTCAGAGACGGAGAGCCATGGTCCTTTGCCTGCACCAGAATCTGAAACACCTTCACTTTCTCATAGTCAAACGAGTGCATGCTGTATATACTGCCGTTATCAGAGTTCATATACACATAGGAGGACACAGACACGTCCTGCACGTTGGAGTCTAGAATGGAGTAAGATATTTTGGCATTATCCCCGAAATCCAGGTCAGATGCCGATACTGTGGTGAGCATGGAGCCTGGTAGTCCATTCTCTTTTAAATAGACATTATAGGAGGGCTGAGTGAATTTAGGGGGGTTGTCGTTGACATCAATGATACTGACAGGTATAGTTGTCTTGGTAGTCAGGGAAGGGGAGCCCGAATCAGTGGCTGTTATCTCAATATTATACTCTGAGAAGCTCTCTCGGTCTAAAACACCACTGGTGACCAGTG